ATGACACCATTACCACATTTATCAGGAAGTGTCTCTTGGGTGGAACAGTTCTGCTTTTGTCCTGAGGGATCTGCACTTACGTTCAGCAAAACGTATTGCATAATAACTTTCATTATTCATCCTTATTTTGGGGTCGATCTTACATCCTTGAAAGCATAATTTCTCTCGTTTTATCTGATGAGCTCCATTTAGGTCGCTGCAAAACTCGACATGATTTATAAACTTTGAGTTCACGTCTCAAACTTGCTCAGTCTGAACAGTAAGATTTTTATACAGTAAATATAAGAAAAAAACTCTAAAACTTTGATTAGGGGATTGTTTTCATGTTGTGTTTATTGTCTTTTGGGTCCAGTAAAAATCCTACAGACCACTACATAATATTGACCAATCTTTCAAATGATCTAAACCAACCAACAAAAAAAATATAGAGACCATAAAAGCAGGTTTTTTTTATTCCCCTCACACATCTTGTTGGAGGATAAAGAACACAAGCTTTTTACTGGAAAGCACAAAAGGTTCTTCCACTTTCCTTTTTCATTAAGGATTTTCAAATTATTTCCTTTTCCCAGGAGACGGTGATCCTCAGTACATCATGTCCCTCAGTCAGATTATGATCTGCAGGGCCTGTTTGTTTCTGTGGGGTCAGGGCAGAGCCGGCTCAAGGTCGCAAGTAGCTCTGAACGCAGTTTGATTCCTTCCAGCTACCGCAGCACAACCAAGAAATACTATAAATAATTTGTGTTCCAAAGTTTGGACAAAAGTATTCATACCTCTTAAACTTGACCGACACAATGAAATGGCGCGCTCACACCAAACGCGTCCAACGCTTCAAGTTTGAAGCACTTTGCTCGTCAGGTGCATCTGGTGCAGAATTCCCTTAAATTTAGCACCATCCACCAAACACACACTTCATCCTTCCTGAAAGAAGCATCTCCACAGCATGACGGAGCCACCGCCATGTTCCCTGGGGTGGATTTTATGTTCAGGGTGATGTACCCAGGCAGTTGTATTTACGTCGCCAACACAACTGCAGCTCTACAAAGGCATGACTATAAATCTAAATTGAAGTCTGATGAAGTTTCACGCCACACTTTTCAAATTTTTAGCAGAAAAAGTTAAAAACATGTTTTTCTTTAAGATAATATGCAAATCAATTGGTGCTGCTTGAGAAGCACAATTTAGTTATATGTACATTTATGTGCATTTAAAAAAAAGCACATTTCAAACAAGATAAATAATTGAGTTTTTTGAGAATGTCAGAGTTACTACAGTATAAATATTAATGGTTGCCTTGTAGAGCACAGAAATGATTTAAGAGAATGATAAATCAGAGTGCAGCTGATTTACTACTTAAACAACTAAAGTCTTAATTCACAGAATTGAAGGCTTCAACAAGAGTTCTTAAATATATGCGACTCTGAGATGAAACACTTATTTTTTGGCATGGACACAAATGCTTCAGGGCTTCCCAGTGGATTTCTGGCTAAATCTACTTTAAGGCAACGCTGCTTTGAAGTTTAGTCTCTGCACTTGAAGATGGTCCGATCAGCAAAGTGAGCCAGGTTAAAAATTAACCAAAGTGCATCAGAAAACTCATCAGTAAAGTGAGTAGATTCAGCTGACCTTATTGTCTGGAAAGCTTTCAGGTAAGATGGATGGAGAAGAAGTAAAAGAAAGTGATATGTAAAGGTCGTAGCAGTCAAACTGGATGATTAAAGAACAAGTGGCATTTTCCAGGTCAACCATGTTAGCTGGGTAATAATAAAACTGGCATGATTGATCGGTTCGCCTGTAATCTGATTAGCATCGTCAGTTGTCTGATTTCTCCCTGGCCCAGTATTTGTATTTTCATTTCATCCATCCTTAAATTGTGTTATTTCTTTTCTTTCTTTAATTACACTCGTGTTTGTTTCCTTCACAATAATATTTCCTGTCCAATCTAATTTTCTTTTTCGCCTGCTAGATTTTTCTCCCTGCATGTTCATGATTGCCTCTGTTGTCTGGGAATTATTTTCTCTTACTCCCCTACCTTCCTCTCATTCACCTGCCGTCTTTCTTTCTTTGTCTGGCTGTCATTACTTTGTTCCCCTTCCTGTCGCTCTTTGGCTTCATCTCTCCGTCTCTGTCGCCGATTCATTTTTCTAACGTTTTTATTGTTTCTGCTGACAGATGTGTCAGCAGAATAGGCCGTTTGTTTTCTTGGAAACCGAGTCAAACAAAGACAGAAAACTGTTTTCTTTCAACGGTTTCCTTTTATCAACAAATCTAATTTGCAGACCATGAAATACGAGTAAATCTTTTATCGTCTTATCAAGAAGAAACATAAAAACGTCAGTTTTCATGACGCCAAAAAACACATTTTTCCTCCAGATGGCTGGGACATTAATATGTTGGTGAAGCCTGCATGTGTTGAGACAAGGAGAAGCATCTGCTGCTGAACATCATAGGCTACTAAATGCAGAGTCGCTTTTAAAGTATACAGCTCTGGAAAAAATTAAGAGATCACTTAAAATTATCAGTTTATCTGATTTTACTTTTTATAGGTAAATGTTTGAGTAAAATGAAGATTTTTCTTTTATTGTATGAACTGCTGACAACATGTTGCCGAAATTCCAAGCAAGTATTTAGTTTTTATTTGCAGAAAATGAGAAATGGTTAAAATCACAAAAAAGATGCAGGGCTTTCAGAGCTCCAATAATGCAAAGAAAACAAGTTGGTATTCATTTAGAAACAATACTAATGTTTAAACTCAGGAAGAGTTCAGAAACCAATATTTGGTGGAATAACCACGCGGTTTTCAATGGAGATCAGCAAAGTTGGCTCTTACGTTGTTCCAGAGCTGCATATTATGGTAAAATGATATATTTACTTGGATGAGTTAGGTTCTGCCTTTCACAGATTAAACTGGGTAATGGAATATTGTTAATAAGATACTAAAGACAGTTTCAAGTACCAAATCCATTTCCATCTTGTCTTTCTTTAGAAAAAAAAAAAAAAAAAAGAAACGAATAATAATCCTGTTTAACTGCAGGGCTGTGTAACAAAAGGCCAAAGTAGCTAATTTAATTCACAACAGTAAACCTGACCTAAAGTTAGTCAACTACAATCTATTTTATAAGGGAGAAAATACAATCTGTAATTATTTTAAAGTTTTTGCTGTTTTTATTTTGTTTTATTTTTCATTTTTTTATTCTGAAATTATTATCTTTTACTTTAGATTAGATTTTCGATATATACAGAAAGTAGAAGTAAATAGCTCTTAGAAATGAACCAATAGAGGCTGAAATCGGCAGGTCGGAGCTTTAGAGAACAGGAAATCGGCCTGTTGTTCGATTGGTGCATTTCTTGTACAGATACAATATTCCTAATCTGCCGTCTTTTTTAATCAGAGGTAATCCTGAAACCTTTTCAAACAAGCAACCTTTTCTAACTTTATTGTTCTGAACTTTTTTTGCTTCCCTGTAGAGACTTAACTGGAGGGTTTTTTCTCCTCTTTTTTGTGTTGGCACTTTTGTTAATTTCACTGAAAAATTCATCCATTCATGAGAAGGTTGACTATTTCCTTTGTAAGTTTTTGATTTTTCTTTAAAATGGTCTTTGTTTTCCAGAATTAGGCAGACTACCTGTAGTGAAGGTTCATTGTTGGAAACTTTTTGACAGAAATATCTAACATTGGGTTATTCGAGTTGTAACACACCAATTTCATCTACATTTCTAACAGATAAAGAAGGGCCTTTTTAGTATATTATCTAAGAAAACAATTAGTTTATCCCCTTTTGCTCTCCTCACATTTATATATTTTTTTACTGTTATACATCCTTTTCTATAAACTTGCACATGTCTGATAGTTATATAACTGTAGAAATGTTAAAGTGGAAATAAAAGGACAGACAACAGCAGGACGGACAGACGGACGTGTCATGGCTCATCTGTGAGCTGTAATTGGATTGTCGCCTCGTCAAGTTGCTGGTTGACACTCTGTGTAATGGACAGAGACATTCAATTTAGGTGAAACACAAGCTGAATGCCAATTAACTGCAGGACACTTTGAGACAGAGGAGAGGAGGCGAAGAAAACAATGAGACGAAGGAGGACGGAGGATGACGAGGATGAAACGACTCCATGGGTGATTGTGGAAACATTGAAGTATTGATCCAAAAGGCACTTTGTCACTTTGTTTGGCTGCCAGTGCACTTCCGGTTCAAACGAAAAAAGAAAATCAATTGTCTCTAAAAATAGCTTAAATACTTAGATCTATATGTGACCCTTAAAAATCTGAAGAACTTTTAAAAGTTCAACATTTGTTCAAACAGGCACAAATTTGCACATTTAGATAAAAAGCGACTATTAATGGTCAGATCTTCTTGTACTTGGACATTCCTCTGTGTTCTTTAAAAAAGATTCATTAAAGAAGATCATTGTTTAAATCATCCTGGGAGCAGGATAATTAAGATGACATACTGAAATGCATCGCTCTTCCCCTGGCCCTTTTTTGTCGTTTCTCTTCTCCCGCACTTGTCTCCTGTAAATTTTAACAGCCGCTAAAGGGCAAAGTGATGGAGAGATTTACAGCAGGCTGTAAAGCCAGTACATCGCTTTCACTCATCTTTTTTCTCCCGGACGTCCTGAGAGTCTCCGACCATCAGTAAGTTTCCTCTTTCCAGGCTCTATCAGTCATCTCCACTTTGAAATGATATAAAATTAAAAAGTTAAAAACTACTTCAGGCAGTGGCTTTGGCCACTTCAAAGCAGATATTTGACGTGAAGTGCAAGGAAACATTATAAACATTATTTGTGGTTTCCAAAGCTGACCAAGGTTAATTAGGGTCAGCATGAAGCAAACAAGAATATAGACTTCCATCGTAAAAACATAACATTATACCACGTTGGGCTTAATGTAATGCTCTCAAATTGCTTCATTTCCAGTTTTCCAGCTGGTGCATTTCTCAAAACAATCAGTAAAAACTGCAAAACCTAGATGATAACCTGCAAAGCGTATCACTTTCTCAGAACGGATAGTTTATTCATCAAAAGCAAATATTTCTATCAGTGAAAGTGTCATCAAAATGAAAAGTCATGACACCATGTTAATGTACAACATGCTCAAATGGCTTTGTCATGTTTTCACGGTTCCCTCTGAGTGTTTTCCAATGCTAAGAGCTTCAGGTCTCAGAGACACTGCCTGAAAATGTTCAAACGGCTGTTCACACATTACTGCATCTAGTGAGATAAATGAGTACAAGACACTGAATGCGTCTGCTTCACATTTTGCTCTCTGCAGCTCTAATTTCTTCACAGCATTGTGAGAAAGTAAAGAACAGTAAATAAAACTGCACAACTGTAAACAAAGCCATTTCTGAAAGCTGAGGGTAATGGTTCAATTTGGGAGCCAATTTCTGGAAAGAATGTGCATAAAAATGACAGATTTTAAATATTTTTGTATGTAGTGACTCTTTCAGTTTTATAAGGCATGGTAAGTTAGAAATCATAGAGAGTTAATTTTGAAACAAATGATAATGTTATAAAACAGCAGACAGAATTGATGCATGTCCAACAGGACTTACATTTTGTTAGACAGAATTTGCTACTATAACGTGCACAACTGGCTAAATGTTGTGGCTTTTGAACCAACAGTTGTAAGAACTTTAATCCTGATCAGAAAAATGCACCAAACAAATTGGGGGGGAAAGATGTGATGATGCCTTAGCATCTCCGTAAACATCCTGATCAGAAATAATTTGGAGGATTTTGAAAACAAGAATGGCCAAAGAGTAGAAAGTTTTCTCGGTTCTGCCTTGAGGTCGAGCTTGACTGCTGGGTCCAACTACATAACAACAATCAGCGGGCTTCCACCCTGCTGGGACCATCAGGTGTCCAATCAATAACTCAGGGCTTTCCTCAGCCTCCTCTGAAATTGACACATTGCTCAAAAGACAAAGTGAAATTTATGATTCGGATTCTGTAGGTCATTCTGAGGACGACTGATCAATATCTGAGAGAGAACAATGAGTAAATCTGAAGGTGCTTCGGGTCAGAAAACAACAGTGGAATCATTACAGATCAATGTGATCCGGACAACAACCGCCTCCCCTCTGCTCACTGTATCTTAAAAATGGTTTGTTTTTTCACATGTTGCTTTGTTCATTGATTTTAAATATTTCCTGTGTTACGCCTCTGGTCTGGAGGAATCCTGAGAAATGACAGGCTGTGTGACTCTTGGATCTCTTCCAGGTCAGCAGACATGGCCAGCTGCACAGTGTGGATCCTGCGTTATGGACACAGTGTTGGGAAAATGAGCACAAGAACTTTCCCCAATTTAGGTACAAAAATGTCTAAACTATATGACTTAATTGCTAAACAAGAAACTGAAAACCTTAATTTACTCCCCACTTTACAGTTTTGTGCCATGTTTCATTTGTTTTACTTTTAAAAATCCCGTCAATATACTCAGAAACTGGCTTAAGGTGTGGAAAATCACTATTATTGCCCTGACCCATTGCAACTTAATCATTCGAGGTGCCACGATGGGCGTTGGAAATAGAGCGACTGAAATAGTTTTCCAATGTTTTTGCAGTTTTTTCGTGGCTTCTACTTGTTCGAGTCAAACTAATTTGTCTGTGAACGTAACGCTCCTGGTTGGGACTCATAGACGGATGTATTTAGTTATAACAGCTAGCTTAGAAACCGACCCATACCTCCTCCTTCCTGATGAGTTGATCAAATTACAGACTTTGCCGGAATTCACACCACAATATTTATATCACTATGTCATAAAGAGCGTTTCTCCTCACACCGGAGGAGCCTTTAAAACGGACAAAAGACGAGATGCTAACCAGTTTTTCCAGACATGCTAGGCTACATGATGGTGCGGCACCGTCTCCATGGTTACCAACGGTTATCTTCTCCATAATGACAAATCGGATATATCTTTCTAATCATACTTACTTATAAAGTATATGAACGTTAATCTTCTTACCTTGTAAAAAAGTGTTCGCTGCAAATCCGCGGATACACCGAGGGCTGACAGTAATAATGATTGACAGCTGGCGGCCATTATGATTAACAGCCGCTATCCACAGCCGAATTTTTCCTCATTAAAAGTTCTGCAATAAAATGATAAGTTAGGTTTCTATCCGACCGCGCAGCATCCTGAGACCATTTTCAAAAGTGAAATCAACGAATTAAGAGCGATGTTAGGCTAGCAGATGTCTGTTTTTTTGTCGGGCTTTAAAGGAGCGCATTGGTAGTTTTGACGTCCGTCATGGCGGAGCGAGCGGATTTCTGAGGGGCGTGACGTCACATGAAAAGGGTCAAGGGTTAACATAAAAACGAATTTCTCCACAGTCGTGTTCATTACTTTTATAGTTAAAATTCTGCCCAGGTAAGAAAGTCAGCTGAAAATATAATTAGCTGTATCTTCTGGTTAGGTAAAGAAAAAATTTCCAAATTATTATTATTTTTTTGTCTCAATGTCCAAACATATGGCTTAATTACGAGGAAATGCAAAAAGAAATAATTTTCTTTTACAATTGCAGTAAAGAAAAAAAGTACGTTTTTTTTCTGTTATTTGAGCTTTCAGTGAACAATTCTGTCAGGTTTTGAAGGTAAGACTCATAAAGATGAGACTCCGTCCTTTGTATCTCTGCTGAACATTGTGATGATGTGGAGCCTTTTCCATTAACCTTTCGCACGTCAGAACAACACCTGCTACTTAGAAAGCTTTAAAATGCTGTTAAGAAAAACCTAATTAAAATGTCATCACAGATAGACGCAGCCCTCCACAATTACTGGCAAATTTGAAAAATGCTTGAAAATAAATGAATGTTTTATTACAGGAAATTAATATCACACTAAACATTTTTTTAGCAGTCTAACCTTCAATTTCTTGCATTCATTAGGTAATAAGTAAAAAAAAATTTGGTGAGAAATTATTTTGTTTCACAAAATTACACATTTAGTGGCACCCGAACAAAGTCAGCAAATCAAGTGTGACTGAAGCTTTTTTCATTTATTTATGCCTTTTAAATTAACTTTTAATTAATAATTCATGATTTACTTTTTCTCCAAGAAATAAGGTGACAGACCTTTTTTATCCACACCTGAAAATGGGAAATGGAAGAAAACACCCCATGCAAATAGATCGATAGATAGTTGCACATTTCTATCTACCGATGTTAAAAATTTTATTATAATTTTGCAGCTGCAACACCATGAAAGGTTTAAGTGATGTACCTTTTTAATGGACTAACTGAGACACAAACAATTATCTGTCACTCATAAATAAAATGAGCTGATATGAAACTAATTAGGAGTGATTAACCAGGATAAAATCGGTGCTGTTTCACAACTCAATCCCTCTGTGTTTAATGATCACCACTGAGTAATTTTCTAAAATAAAAGCAGCATTTTTCTTTGTACTGATGATTAAAGACGTATATTCTCAGGGTTGGTTTCAAGAACCAGTCTTTAAACATTGCTCGTAGCAGAAATAATGTTAATTTATTTACTAATTACACAATTAATCACATATTACAGCTGAGATGAAGACTTTGGATGAGCTCATCAGGTAGTTGGAGAATTTAAATGTTTACTTCTTACCTCTCAGATTTCACACCTCGTCAACAGATATGGTTCCGATTTTACCAACTATAAATAAAACAAAGGCTTTGACGTCATGCTGCAATCATTTTCTAATCCAACATCCATAAGAGGAAAAAAAAAAATCAGTTTTTGGCCTAAGCAACTGTAAGGTTTTTGAAATTTCCTTAGCTTCAGTGGGACAGCGCTGTTACAGTATTGATTAAAGAGGCTGGATTCTTTTATATCGCTGATTAAAAGCACTGGATTCCTTTAGACTGAATCCAGACACTGGAGTTGCTTACAGTATTGATGACGGACACAGCAGCATTCCTATAGATTATTGATCACACACACTTGTTTGCTGCAGATTACTGACTGCAAGCGCTGAATCGCAGGCTGAATAAAAACCATAAAGTTTCCTATAACAGACACCTATTTTTTTTTAATAGTACTAATTGAAGGCTTTGGGTTTCTTTACAAAATTGATTAAATCCTTCTTAATTTTTTTTAATTACAGTAACTGATTTTTCTTACAGCGTAAATCACTTGCAGTATTGACTTGATTTAGATAAATGTCGCTTTTAACACCATTTATTGCATTTCAGGGTTAAAGCTCTGCCCATACGTTACTGCAAAGCTCAGCAGACATGGAGCAGCTAATATCAGTTATGTATTTCTAAATGTGTGGCATGTTTTTGCCAAATTGTTCCCTGAATACGAGGAAACCTACGGTATAATTATGGAGCTGACACTTGAAATGGATCTTGAGCATAAACGTCGGTAATGCGAGAGGCGTTTAAAAAGACCTGCAGAGTTATTCAACATCTGAACACTCAGCCCAGGACGCACACAGGCAGCAGGATGTCGGCACACAACACGCTAATAATACCCGCTGCACACACGTTTCATTATTCAGATTACCGGTGCGCTTGTTTCCATCAGCTGTATTTTTATGCTGCCGCAAACTCCATGACCATCATGAAAGCAGTAAAATATTAGTCCAGGGGAAAAACTACAACTGCTTTGCATATAATACTGTTGTAAAAAACAAAATAAGTTGTTGTCTGACATAAGATTTCCTCGACGAACCGCCTGTTCAGCTGTTCGCGACGACGTCCTTCCAGCTCAGGAGGATCAACAATCATCGTTTTCTTCAACAAAGTGGAAATAATTGTTTGCTCTCATGAAACCAGATTCCAGTGCAAATTAAGAGTTTTCCCTAAAACCCACCGATGGATCTTTGACTTATGAGGCTTTCTCACCCAATTGCATAAAATATAAATAACGCATTTTATACAAACACTCATTATATTGTTGCTAGAAACATGAAAATATCATTACACTTTGTGCTATTACAATAAAAACACTTGAAATAATGCTTTTTTAAATCAAGTCTAGATTTACACTACACTTTTTAAATGTATACATAAAGTCTCTAACTAAAGATGGAAGCATAACTTCAGACAAACATCTGACTTTTACTTAAATTTTAAGTCACTTTCAGCTTTAAAAGTGAATAATTGGTGAAGAAACACTAAAGGAATTCAAAACAAGTCAAAGTTTCAGATTATTAGACAAATATATGAGAATCAGCTATGGCTTTTCTTATTTTGCCGCCTGAACATATCAAAGATTTAAAATCAGCTTTAAAGTATAAATAATATTTTAAAACTGTCCTAATCAAAAACAAGTTCACAAATTCCTTTCATTTTTTTGTCAAAAATTTACATCATATTTGCAACAAAATGGTTCTGTTGGACACAGAGGCACAAACAGTTTTGGTGCTTTCATGAATAAACGTAATCACAAATATCAACGTATCAGTGGGACTTCTAAACATTTTCTCCAGAAATCAAGACATTCCCGTAAGGGATGATATGAAACAGTCAGCCAACCACCTTCACCTTCACCGATCTTCACCTTAGATCGGTCACACCGAGGCGGACAGAAAACCTCCAGCCTCATCCGAAAGTTTCAGCTCCAGTTTGGATTATAAAACTCACTTTTTGCAGACTTTACTGCATTTAATGTCATTATGGGACTCTGCACCCCATGCTGCTTTAAAACTCTCAGCAGCTCTTGTGACATGAAAGGAATCCAGCAAATGAAATCCCACCGTTTCATAAGATTGGAGCCGTTTCTGTTCCAGGTCTGTTTTCTGCTGAGAGCAGATCCGCTTCACTCTGTGGCTGCCGCTTGCGTTCAAAACGCCGCCACAGCCACGGGTTGCCTAGCTTAGCTTTTATTGCACTTCAGTAGGTAAAAATAAATCACCCACCCTCTCATTGCAGCTCGGTGTGTTTGTATTTGCTTCTGCGTGCGTCGGCCCTGACCCTGTTGTTTGAAACGTTAGAAAACACGGTCTGAGCGTTTGGAGGCTGCTGCTCTTCTGCGGTTATATTTCTCACATTAAGCTAATTATATGGATGTGTGCACGTCTGGCAGTGAGTCAAATGATCTTTTACAAAGAAAAATACCAACAGAAGGACGAACGTTTTTCCAGAGATATATTAAAAATACATTTTAAAAACTTTTTTTTGTTGTTTTTTTCTCTGTCAAATAAATTTTTAAACCAGTTTGTAGTTCTAGAGCCTTGACACACAGACATGTTTACATAGTAAACAGATGACAGTATTAAGACAAAGCCTCACATTTTAATCTTCATCTTTTTTTGCCATTTGTAATGTTTTTGTCTGTATAGGTGTACCTCAAGGCTGAGTTCTTAGATCACTTCTGTTTTAGTTCTTTGCTGAATATTTGCCATGTTTGGTCCAGATTTCCAGTCTATATGTGGCGGATTTTTAAAAAAAAATTGTGTCCGTTTCAGCACAACTGGAGATTTTTACAGCACAGTTTGAAGTCATGTTTCACATTGAGATTTACAGAAATTATGATTTTACTATATGAAACCAGTCCCAAAAGTAACGTGTTTTAGTGGGTTCTCAATTAAATTTTACCAAGTATTTCAAGAAGATGACAAAAGCAAACTTATTTAGCCTAATCAGCGTCCTGCTTTTAAGATATCTAATGATTAGTTTCTAACTTTAAAAGCTTTTCATGTTGAAAAACAGCTCCAGCAACCCTTACGACTGAAATAATATACAATTTAAGATAGAAATTCAAGCTAAATTAATGAACAATGATAGTTCTGGAGTGACCAAGTGAAAGTTCACACTTAAATTTTTACAGATTATGCTAAAGGTTATAAATTAAACCAAAAAAACCCATTGAATTCCCTGATCTGCTGCCATCTTGGCTGAACACTGTGTTCAGTTTTTTTTTTTAAGATCTTCATGCATTTAGTTTTTACTTCTCTCTCAGTGACTTTGGATTTATTTGTCCTGCAAACTTTCTTGTCCTTTTTTGTCGGTGAGCTCATAAAGTTTTTGTATTTTTATGACTTCTGGCTTGTTTGCAATTTGAGAAACGAAAAAAAAAAACGGCTCAATAAAAACCTGAGAATATGCTTTTCGTTTTATTCCGTAATTCAACAGAAAATAAAACACCAGCTTGTTTTATCTGAGTGTGAGTGGCTGACTAACACCGAAAGGGCAGAAACATAAAATTCAAACTCTTTCTCTTGTTTCCTTATATTGAGTTTTTCTTTTAGTCTTAAGGAAGCTGTCAAATCCAGACATTGTGTTTTCTCAGATTTGTAATTCATTTGATACCGTTTTTTTTTTCGTGCTTCCCTGA